CCAGAAGAAGCTAAGAATAGTATAGAAAGAAAAGTGATTCCTCATTTTGATGAAGTAGTTATTCTAAAGAAAGCGTATGACTTGAATAAAGTTTCTAGATATTTCCACCAAAATGATCTGCTTGTTTAAAAGGAAGATTAAGGTGGTGCAGTTGTCATCATGGATGGGTTAAGTTATGTAGAAAAAAGGATGGTTCATTTGAACGACTCAGAAACGTATAGACTTTTAGTGAAAGGGAATCGCTTAACGTTTGTGTAGGCAGAGGAGATTTTGAGGAGTGGAAAATCAATTCACTTATTCAGAGGAATGCTAGGGCACCTTCGGCTTATGGTCTACCAAAAATACACAAGGAAGGAGTCCCTTTAAGATTGAGTGTTAAAATAATAATGGAAGTGTGATGCATAGGATTTCACGCTTCTTATGTAGACATCTAAGGAAATTAGCTGAGTATTAGAAATATTCAGTGAAGAATTCATATGAATTTGCTGGATTATTATATCAACAGAATATTAAAAAGGAGGATCTTTTGGTTAGTTTTGATGTGGTATCAATATATACTAACATCCCAGTTCATAAAGCTATTAAAGCACTTACACTCAGCCTAGATGAACACCCAAAATTATTTGGAAGGCAAATCTGAGTAAAGACTCAATCTTAAGGCTTCTTAATCTATCCATAAGCAGCACATACTTCACCTTTAATCATAAAGTTTATGAAGAGGTGCAGGACCTAGCAATGGGATCTTGCTTGGCTCCCATTTTTGGCTAATAATTACATGTCAAGGATGGATGAACACTTAATGGAAGAGGTAAGACTGACGCCCAAACTATTAGTTAGATTTAGGGATGACTACTTTACCATATGGCAGCATGGCGAGGATATTTTTGATAATTTCTTGTTTTTAATGAACCAGATTGACTGCAATGTTAAGTTGACAATGGAGATGGAGGTCACCAATAATTTACCCTTTTTAGATGTCTAAGTGATCAGAACAGGTGAGATGTTAAGCGGGTATGTCTATAGAAAGCCAACACACGCTGGCTTTATACTTAACTTCTTCGCCAATCATAGTTACACAACAAAGGTTAGAGTTTTAAAATCTGTGATTATTCGGAGCATAAGACTAGCCGATGAAAACCGTTATGAAAATGGACTGGATCTGCTTAGAATAAAATTTCTTGAGAATAATTATCCCCTAGGCTTGATTAAAAATAACATTAGATTAATAAAGAATAGCTTTTTGAATGTTGAATAGGTAAGGTAAAGACAAAACATGAGAAAAGGTCTTCTTATCTCTCCTTCGTGCATTCTCCCTAAAAGGATAGGTGAACAAGTAAGGAAGTGGGAAATAAAAACGATTTTCAGGGAAACTACGACACTTCCTTAGATATGCCCACTTTTAGAGAGAAAGTTGACCCATTATCCAAATCGGGTTGCTACAAAAGAATGTGTTCATGCTGTCGCTTTTATGTTGGAGAGACTTGTCGTCCCATTCGAAAAAGAGTGGCTGAACACAAAAGCGCCTGCAAAGGCTGTTGGGTTCAGGAATCGGAGCTTGCTGAGCACAGGGCAGAAACGGGACACAAGATTGAATGGTCTCAAACTTGTCGTTTTGTTGATTATGGTATGTTTGCGGCTAAACGTAAAATTAGAGAAGCCATAGAAATAAATCGAATAGGAAATACCTTGAATGTAAGGAATACCAATAAAAAGTTGTCAAAATTATTTGTACTTAATTAATAAACTGAAGGATAGAGAGGGAGTTGAGCCGCCTGCAAAAAGGGGGCGACGCAACGAGTCTTTTCTTGCGGAGAAAAGTTGGGTTTAGAGGTCTTTTCTTCTCTTAGTTCTAAGCATAGTCACTTCTCTGTACTTTTAGCTCACTCTTTCTCTATCGCATTGAGACAAATAACAAAAAAAGGCTCATCAACAAAACCAGACGTGTGCCGGACCTGGCGCAATCCGAGTGATGGTTATAACTTGAATGTGGAAAGGGTGAGATAGTGGTCATCAAGACCTAATGGCCGAAAACACACGTTGCTTTTGCTGTCCTAATTACTTTGAGCCATCACTGCAGGCTTCCTGCATAAGCGAACACAAATAGGCACATATGCACACAGAAACAGGCACACTCACAGGCTTCGAGGTTGACATATGACCGTAACTTACCCAATTTCTTTATACATGATCAATGAGACCAGATACAGAGTATATATACAGCTTTTTAGGAATTTGCCGGTGAGTTTTCTTTACTCGTTAACTTGAATTTGGTTGTGACGATGTTCCCTCGCTCTGATGATGTCCGTCATTTGACGGACGAAGGCTTAGCACCTTTTCACCGGAATCGAAGAAGATTGCCTCGGAAACAGCGTCACCATGAATGTTCCAGATAAGCCAATCTGCAGCTGGTCAAGAGGAGTCCGCCATCGTCTTCTGATAGAATCGACCTTCGTATCTTTTCACGAAACACTTTCACTCGAAATGGAAGTAAGCACAGCAATTATGATTCCTCGAAAACCAACTTTTCTTCGCATCTTTTATCATTTGCGTGTCTGCTAACATCTATATGGACATTATGGCACATAACCGAAGGTGATTACTTTTTGGTCGTAAGCATAAGGGACTATCCACCATCACTTCAATTTAGCAATAAATTTTTTGTGCAAACCCGGATTTAGAATAAGTGGAATCTTGCTTAGAGTCGAAACAAAAAATGCTAGTGGAATTCCTTTGCATTTTTAGGATACTCTATCCCCTATTTATTGAATAAAAATACGTGGTTCTTTTTCAGATGCATTCCTGAAATTCAACAATTTTTTTAAACTGTCGATTTCGGTTGCTGTCTCAATATTGTGGTTCAAATATCACTAGAATGTTTAATTTTATAGTTATAAGTATACTTTTATATATTATATACTTCTGAGACCATTCACACACACACAGCTAATCACTCGTGTCCAGCCATCTACAAGCATGGCCCTCAGAAGCCTCTGGAGAAAATATTTCAGAGCAGCCGCTCTTTCTTCGAAGTAGTTTCTGATGAGGAGAGAGTGGACTCAATTAACACTCAATTAGCCCTTTCGAACTCAACAAAAGATACGCTGGGAGAGAAGTGGCGTTTGAAGAGATGGGATTAGATGATGTGGTAGATCATTTTAAAGAAACTTTGAGCTCACTGTTGTGTGCCCTGCCTTCATTGGTGTGATTAAGGTAAGTAAAGTGTGCAGCTTATCTTGGAAACTCTGTTGAACCTCGATAAGAAAACAGATGAAACTTGATGGCGGTTGCAATTGTGGCAAGACCTCTTCGTTGGAGGATCCATGGCGGCGGTGGAAGCCTTCAGAGCTTGACTCTGCTGCCGAACGAGTTGCATTTCGAGGAAAAGAAGATGTCGTTCTTATCGGACTTTTTATTGCCAAATCACCCAGTTAGGCAGACGCCGGAGAAAACTGAGTGCCTCCTCACAAATGCTTTCGGTTCTGCTGTATGGCTCAGTGTTCGAGGGCAATCCGTCCGAGCCCATTTCTGTGCAGTAAACTATCAAAATTCGCGGGAGTAGTCACACCTTTTGTTGGCCCTGAGTAGTCAGGCCTATCTTCATCATATTATGCATGTTTAGCCTCGACCGTCTGGGTT